ATACATATATATATTAACATATATATATATATATATATATACATATATATATATATATATATATATATATATATATATATATATATATGTATATATATATATATATACATATATATATAAACATATATATATATATATATATATATATATATATATATATATATATATATATATATATATATATATATATATATATATATATATAATATATATATATATATATATATATATATATATATATATATATATATATATATATATATATATATATATATATATATGTATATATATATATATATATATATATATATATATATATATATATACATATATATATATATATATATATATATATATATATATATATATATATATATACATATATATATATATATATATATATATATATATATATATATATATATATATATATATATATATATATATATATATATATATATATATATATATATATATATATATATATATATATATATATATATATATATATATATATATATATATATATATATATATATATATATATATATATATATATATATATATAGTTTTTATGTGTATAGACATAGCTGTCATGTTTTGAAAATGTCTACAAGGGAAACTTGGAAAAAATTTTATACCACTGGATATTTGTCCACTAAAATACCTCTATTGACTAAAAAAGTTTTTTAATGATTTATTACTCTGACAACTAACTTTAATATGTTCAAATTTGGCCACTGACTGAGCTGAAATTTATTCTGTATAGATATACTTTTATATATTTATGTTTGTGTTAAGCAATTTTTAACAATCTCTAACCATTTTTCTTAACTTATAAAATGAAAACTATTTAAAAAAATAGAAACTTGGTGTATTTTAAGTTACTAATTAGAAAAAGAAAGTTTTTAAATTTTTTTTAAATGCAGGTTGGAGATAAATTTCTCTTCAAAATTCAGAAAACTCCTGCCAAATGGGAGAGACTTCATAGATCTCTATTCAGATACTTAATAAAACTAGTATACTAACTCTTAATAAAGTAATAAATAAATGTTAAACTATATAAATAATAAATTCCTCATAAAATATTAAACTCTTAAAAATTGATAATAATTCTTTAATAAAATTTCCAAACCATTATACCAACTTTTATATTTTTCAATAAAAATGACTAGACATTATATTTGATGTTAAGGTGCTCAAAGTTTTTCAAATAACACCGTTTGAAAATTTTGACTTTTTTGGTTACGAAACATCCCGAAAAAATCCTCTTAGGGTATGAAACTACACATGTCAAGAATACTATATCAACTTACTTTGAAATCCAAAATTAAAATCCGAGAGAGATATTTTGATTTGAAAATATTCAATATTTTCACCAAATGGATAGAAGTTGGTTACAACCTGCCCTTAACAAAAGGGGTCATATCAGTCCTAATACAGCCTAACTAATTTAAAAAGTAAAATTAAGATAGAAAATATGCCATTTTTGACAATAATTCATATTCACAATTTTAAAATTTTATTTGAAAATATTTAGAAAACCATCTTTCAATTTTTTGATATAATCAAAATTTCTCACTTCAAAAATTTTTCTTTTGACAAATAAATACATTCTTTACACACACACAAACTGAGTTTCTCCAAATTGAAAATGAGGAGTCTTTTATTTTCTTTCTTTCCAACTAAACTTTTTTGCTGTTGTAATTAACTACACAACTGAGGAATTGACTGGAATATTCCGGATGAGTAGAGTTTCGCTTGAATCTTTGCCAGTGGGTCTTGAAATTTGAATGAAGAGCTTCTGTTGCTTGCTCACTGAATACACCTAGACCAACCTTGTGCTGATGAATGAATTGTTGAACGTGATGAAAAACAGCATGTGCCTTTGGTGTGACTGAGACTGATAATTTCAAGTAGTTTTTTTCAAGTATCTTTGAAATCACAAATTTTTGCCTCATAATCTGGCAACAGAGTGTATCCAAAGCATGAAACCACAACCTGGTGAAATGAGCTCAATGCTTGGCATGCCTTTGTTGCATCTGGTGCTTTTTCAGCAATTGTCAATTGCATAAGCTCTTCAATTTTCCTCAGCACTTTCATGCAATCTTTTCCATTGAAGTGGCCACCATGAAATGGTTGCATCTGAATGTGGATTGAATCCAACCATTGTTTGGTCTTTGGAAAAACTTGAACCAAGTACTTGATGAGGTGGTTGACAACTCCCAGGAGCAAATGCAGTTCCATGGGTGGGATTGCCTCAAGGATCAATTCCCTGTCTGGAAAGGCAAACATTGGCAAATGAACCACATTTTCAAACTCTTTTGATCTTTTGGCATCACAACCAGACTTCACAAATTTTTTGTACAAGTCTCTGATGCCCCCGAATGTTCTAAGCTGACCACAGTTTTCCAAATGTGCTGAACACTTGTGTTCAGCACATTTGGAAAACTGTGGTCAGCTTATTGTTTTTGAACACTTGTGTTCAAAAACAATAAGCTTATTGTTTTTGAACACTTGTGTTTTTGAAGTTGTCTTTGGTGATCAATTTTGATTTCTTCTGAACAGGACTGTGAGGTTCTCCTTCATGCTCACTGATAAGACTCAAACTTGCCTTAAAGAATGATCCTCCACCATCAATGCCAAGCTTTATGAAGTTTGAGTTTTGCAAGCCTCTGGATGAAACAATATTTTCTTTGAGGGTTTCCAAATTTGTGCAGTGAACAATATGGCGTGTTTCATTTGATTCTGGTAACTGTGAAGTGGTTACTGTAAAGAAACTTTTGAGGGTAGTTCCAGCTGCAGCAAATTTTTGTTGAAAATCGGCCTCAACTATGCGAACAGGACTTATTTGATTTAAAGCTGACCCAAGCTTTCTCATTCCATTGTTAGAAAGTCCAATGTTTTGCTGAATATTAATCATATCTTGTGTTGTCAATGGCTCTGAGGAGAGACCCTGAGTTGCATTTGATCCTGTGAATAAAGAAACAAATAAGAAAAAAACCAATATTAAAAAGCAAACCCAGCAACAATACTTTAACATACCTGGTCTGATTTCAAGAGGCTTTCCATGAAACCGGCTAATCAGAATAGTTCCATCGGAAGATACCTCTTTGGAAGAAACGATGAATGATGCAATTTGCTCTGCCCCTAACGGATCTGCCAATGCCAGAGCTTTCAAGTTTTCACGACGTGTTGCTTCTTTGCAGTTATGAGGCAGTCCTCGAGCAATGACAGATAGGCATTTTGTGCATCGTTTTTCAAAAGATTTTTCTTCTTTTTGCACTTCTTGCTGAGATGGTTTTTCAAAGGGGTGCTTTCCTTTCCCTTTGGTTTTTGAAATTTGACAAATGATGCAATCACATTTAGTTTTCTGGCGAGTTGATGGTTTGATCAATATGGATTCGAAGTCATAAAGTTGAGGTATACTCACTTCTTCATCTCCAGAAGCTAACTTTCTAAGCAGGAACCTACAGGTGACACAGATCCCTCGTGGAACCCTCTCATCATCAAAGTTGATGTTGCCAGAAATCAATCTTTTGATTTCACTGATAAAATATTCTGAAATTTCTCTTTCACTTTTTTTCATACAAAGTGTGCAAACGACATGCCGACAATGATTATGATCCTTTGAAAAAGTAGGCATTTCAAAATCTGAGATGAACTTGTGATCTGTTTGAAGATATCATTTAAACTAATTCATAAAGTACAAAGAGGTCATAAAACGTATGAAAATGTACTAAAAGTACAAAAAGTCCGTAAAATTGGAAATGTCCGAAGAGTACAAATTTTAGGAAAGTACAAATTTACGGCAATTCACGTATCAAATTTTTCATCGTAATTCGCGATTCAAAAATTAATCGATTCAAAACTTGAAATGGAAATATCTCCCCTTATAGCTCATTTCTCAAAAAAATTTATTAAATACAAAATCTTTACAAATTAATTGTCTAAAAAAGTTATTTTATTAAAAAAATCACTACGACCCACCCCAATACCGCTATTTTCAAAAACAAAAACTGCTAATGTTTTTATATTATTTCAAAAATTTAAATCAAAATATCTGTCTCGGATTTTAATTTTGGATTTCAAAGTAAGTTGATATAGTATTCTTGACATGTGTAGTTTCATACCCTAAGAGGATTTTTTCGGGATGTTTCGTAACCAAAAAAGTCAAAATTTTCAAACGGTGATAAATTAGGAATTTAGTCTGTTAACAGACTTAACTCCTAATTTAATTTTTTTAGTCTTACTTATTATGTTTTATTATATTTGATAACATTTTACACATCTGAATCTTATTAAAACTAAGTATTATTTCTAACTATGGAATAACGTATTAAAAAAAGTTGAATATTTTATTAAAATGGTCAATTTAAAATAAATATAAAATCGATAAAAAATAATCTGAATAAATCAAATTGACCCTGAGATTTTTGTATATTGTATACAATTTGATATAAAATCAAAAAGGATTAAATTATTCGCAATAAAAATAGGTTATAAAACATAACTTTATTAAAATATTTTTTAAACCATATGCATGCATTCTATTAGGTTTTTCTTGCCTTTCCATTACGGCAAATTATTTTTGTAATGGCTAGTTATTGAGACAATAATTTTCAGTATGCCACTTCCTCAACGTTGTCAAAGCAACGTTTTATTAACGTTGGCAAAGTAACACTTTTTCAACGTTTTTTAATTGCCACATTTTCAACGTTGGTATATATAACGTTGAATAAGCGTTGTTTAATAAATAGCTTAAATACGTTAAAAAAAGCAGCTAATGTCTAACGTTGATAAACCATAAATTTTGCGACGTTTTTACAGTGATTATTTGCGTACTTTTATTCAACGTTGAATAAACGCGATTTTTTGAGAAAATAAGATACGTTTAAATTGCACGCTTATTCAACGTTGAGAATGTAACGTTTAGAAAGTGGTTTGTTTTTAACGTTGATAAAGCATATGCTTTATAACGTTTTTAAAGTGGCATTTTGCGTAAGTTGATTCCGCGTTGAATAAACGTTTTATTTTGAGAAGCTAAATTACGTTACAATTTCAACGCTTATTCAACGTTTCAATTTACCGCGATTTAGTATACAAAAAAAGACATTGATTCAACGTTGAAAACACGTTGTTTTGTGACTGTAACGCGTTTTCTACGCTGCGACTTGTTTTCAACGTTGACTCAACGCTAATATGTTTGCAGGGTGTTGTCTGTCATTAATAAAGCAATTATAAAAATACACATAATGACAACAGATTTATCTTTAGAAATGTTCGCATAATTTTTGGTTTGAAGACAGAAGACCAAGTGAAAATGATACTGCCCAGCTGGCAAATAACGTTGAAATAATGTTGAAATATCGTTGAAACCTAACGTTAAATTAACGTTGGTTTAACGTTTAGAATGAAAGTTTTTTTCAACGTTGATTTATCAACGTTAAATCAACGTTAGGTTCAACCGTTATATCAACGTTGATTCGAAGCGAAAAAACGTTACAATAACGTTGAATTAACGTTGATTTAACGTTTAGAATGAAAGTTTTTTTCAACGTTGATTTATCAACGTTAAATCAACGTTAGGTTCAAACGTTATATCAACGTTGATTCGACGCGAAAAAACGTTACAACAATGTTGAATTTACGTTGATACAACGTTTAAAATGATAGTGTTTAACGTTGAATTATCAACGTTAAACGACTGTAAAACACTTTTTCACCATCAAAACGTGCTATGTATGTCAAAATGTATATATGTATGTAAACGTGCTATGTGCGTCAAAATATGATCACCATCAAAACGTACTATGCATGTACATTAGTGTTGCTGTACATTATCAAGGTATATTATGGATATTAAATCTATTCATAGTCTATACTTAGACTATTTAGAACTTTTTCAGTTTAGTTTAGTTAAAAAAGCTAGGTATGATTAAAGAAAGAGATAAAACTTGTTTTATTTAAAAATACATATTCAAATATTACATATATTTACATGTAATTGAATAAAATCTACACAAATTTCTTCTCTTTTCCACCACCTTTTTGAAATAAAGCGTAATTTAGAAAGTCAAACAATGTTCCATTAACCGAGGGTTCTTTTGGTCCATTGAATACAATAGAAGAAGCTGTAAATAAAAAAAATATATTAAAAAAATCAAAAAGGGAAGATTTAAAAAATAAATAATGAATGGAAAAGTGTTACATCTTATGAAGGCACATCTTTTTCAACGCCATATAGATTAGTGTTCTTAAAACATATTTTTCCACCTTTGCTCTTCATATCCATAGAGACCATATAACTTTTCGAAAATACTCTGAATTTTATAAAAATAATATAACTGTTAGTTGGTTATTAATAACTTTTTCAAATATTTAATTTAAATAAAACAACCTTTTTGATATATTAAAAATAAATTGGTAGTCAAAATATAAAACATTTCTAGCATTTAAAAATAATTTTCGGGGTGGCCACATAAAATTTTTATAAGAAATTTTATGTGGCCATTTATTAATGGTTTAACGTCCATGTTTATACACTTATGGGGCTGGGACAGGGATCAAATAATGTCATTTATTATGTTAAATGGCATGCATTTTCTAAAGCAATTTTTTACATTTCATGCACTTTAACGCGTTAACCAGTTTTGCAGATCGAGAATGGGTATTTTGAACATTATACTTCCATCAAAATTAAAAAAGGAAGAATTAATGAGGAGCTTTGATCAAATTTTACATCTTTAGAGGATAATAGAGGATTTTAGAAGTGGTTTTAAAAAAAAGAAGACTTTAGAGGATTTTAGAGGAGCTGCAGACACCCTGATTATAAATGAGGTAAGAGTCCAATACTGTTTTTGATTACCTCAGCATAATTTTGTGTATTCTATCTTTAGAAGACGTTCCACCAATTAACTAATTAATTTATCTGTAATTGATTTATCTGTAAAAAATATGAAGTAAGTCTAATATTATGCTTGTGGAGATATATTATATTGTGGAGAACCATCCAAACCACACAAATGGAAAATTTGCATCCAAGTTTCCACTTGTGTGTAAATCTTGCATCCACTTGTCAACATTCTCATTATCACATTTTTCTTTTGTAGTTGTGAATTTAAAATTTTCACAATACTGTTTGCTTTCTTTTAGAATTGAATTAGTTATACAAATGGTTATATATTTTGTATCAACAAAATAACTCTTTTTACCACATTATTTAAAAAATAAAAATTGTAATATATAGATGTAATACCTGAAGAGAATTTAGTTTTAATTTGTATAAACTTAAACAAATTCTTCTCTGCATTTTAGTGCAGTCAATGCTTTGGTACCTGGAAGCCGACAAACAATTTTATCACTAATTCAATTAGATGGAATTACTTCTTCTTGTAAATCTTCATTCCAAACAGCTCCTTTCCGCATATTCGATTTTGAAAAAATTACATGAACTAATATAAAATGAAGAAACTGTAATATAAGTGTACTAACAGGCCTAATTAAACTAACTAAATTTGAACATTTTATAACCATGATACTTGCTAAACAATAATATTAGTAGACATTATAAGCAAAGATAAGATTTTCTTTATTTTATAAATTTATAATATTTTAAACTCATTTTTATTAATTTATTTATTACTCTATTATTCAGCAGAGTTCTGAATATATTATGTTCAAATAACTTAAGGCTCAATAACAAAGACAAATAATGAAAGAATACTAGGTTGCTAAAACATAAACATCTACATAAGATAATTATGGAATGTTGAAAAAAAAAATAAATACAAAAAAACAAAAATACTCATTATTAATATAAAATATAATAGTATAATTTAAGGTATATTATAATATATGACACAATAATATCGACTTTTAATTAAAATATAAAAACAACAAAAATTAAAAAAGAAAATATTTTGATAAATAATAAATTATCATTCAAACAATTTCAAGATGAAAAAATAACTTGTAACTTATTTTTTTACTTATCTTTATCTAATAAATATTACTTATTTTTCACTCATCTTCATCTAATAAACATTAATATTAATACCAATTTTAAACATTATTGGAATTTTTTTTTTATCAAAAAATAAAAATATTACATCAGTTACTTTTTGGGCTTTTCTTATTTTACTTAAAACATCAACTCAATTCTAGACTTTTTTCATAATTGAGTTTTAATTTGTAATGTTGAATTAACACCGAAAAAAAATATTAGCAGACAAAAAGAAAATATTTCTTTATTGAAATATATGTAAATATTTCAATAAAGAAATTTTAGATTGATTTTAATAAATATAAATTTATATCAATCAATCTAAATTTTTTTCTTTTCCGCCACCTTTTCGAAATGAAGCACATTTTTAGAAGTTAGACAAAATGCCATCAATTAAAGTTTCAGTCGTTCCATCGTATTTAATAGAAGAAGCTGTTAATAAAAAAGAATTAGAAAAAAAAAAAAAACACAAGGAGAAATTTTTGAATATATAAAAAATGAGAATAAAAAAGTTTTTCATATCTTATAAAGGTACACCCTTCACTACACCATATAAATTAGTGCTCTTAAAGCATATTTCCACCTTTCCCCTTCATATTTATGGAGATCACAAAACTGTTGGAAAATATTCTAAATTTTAATAGATAAGAGAACTGATATTAATTATGTGAGAACTAATATTAATTTTTTTTTTTAATTTAAATTGAACTCATTATCAAACAATTTTTTTGCTAAATAATTTAATCCTTAAAATTCCTGAATAATTAAAAATTATTTTAATTACCTCAGCATTTTAAAGATATTCCATCAATTGCAATTGATTCACCTAAAAAACAACAACAAGTAAAGCAAATATTATTGTTTGAAATTTTAATTATCTTTATACAAATACTCATCATATTTTTAATATGACTGATAAAAATGGATTCAATTAAAATCACTTCATTTGTATTAAAAAATTTATATTAAAGCCTTAATCATACATTATACAAGAGTATTTTGTAATACAATCTAAATAATTGTTGCGATATGTAATTTTTTTATCCGAAATTTAGCTTCTGTAAGCTTTAGAAATTTTTTAAAGAAATTATTGATGAATTTGGAGCTACGGGTACTAATGTTTTTATATTGCTGTAATGTTTGTATTCATTCCCTGTTAGTTTCTGTAAGTCAAAATTTTAAGGTGATTCCATAATAAATTCTGTTATATCTAAAATTTAGTGTTAGTCTGAATAATTTACTTTCTAAGATCTGTTTTGCATTGCCTGTCTTATAACATCTTTACTTGGAACAAAAACCATGTGGTTTAAAAGTGAGCTAGAAGCTTTCAACAATGAAGAAAATATTGCATTCGCTAATCCTAAAAATATATTAAACCTGTCAGCAAAATCAGCTGTCAATAATCCAAGTATTAGCATCATTAAAAATTCATCTTTGCTGCATTACATTTATTTTGGTCCAAGTAGTTAAGAATTTTTTTAAATTTCACAAAACAGAGGTAAATGTTTTTTTTTAATATCACTTTATCTCTTTTGATTAATGGTGATAATGCACTAACTGATGAAACACATTGACAGATGTAAGGCTAGTATAAAAGTCGCAAGATCTATTATTTTTAAAATAAATGTTTGTATACAAGTAAATTGCAATAACACGATTTGTTTGGATTATGTTTATATACAAATTTGTCTGTTTTCATAGTAATAACTGAGGTGGTTGAAGTTAATTTTTCATATAAATCTTTATTTTTTTATTTCGTGCTGAAGTTCTTTTTTAAAGTTATCAATTTCCTTTTTTAATTCTTGATGCTCTATTAAAAAACAACGCTTAGCATTAAATTCAACATAATTTGATGGATCATTTTTTGAAAAAGTTGTATTATATTTACATTTAATAATATCAGTCTTTGAGCATTGTAGCCCAAGTTAAACAAAAAATATCGATTTTTAAACGATAATGTTCTTTCAGGAAAATCGTCTGAACATGTTTTCGATC